TCCATTATTAATTCATCATTCGTTCATGCATTCATTCATTTTCCATCAACGCATTCTTCCATCCATCAATTCATCCATCCATCCACTCATCCATTCATTCATTATCCATCCATTCAATATTTATCCATCCATCCATCCATTCATCATTCATCCATCATTATTCATTCATCTATGCATTCATTCATTTTCCATCAACTCAGTTCTTCCATCCATCAATTCATCCATCCATCCACTCATTATCCATTCATTCATTATCCATCCATTCAATATTTATCCATCCATTCACTTTTTTCATTTTTTTAAATTTTTTTTGGTCATCAAGTTTTTGACACCTTGCTAGGCAACTGACTCCTCTTTATGACGGTTGCGTCGTCTTGCCGTGTCCCCTTTTGCGACCTCCCGACAAGCCAAGTCAGCAGGATGAGCCAGATTCACTTAACAACCGGGTTGCTAACTTGACAGCTGCCTTGATCCACTTAACAACCGTGGGAAGGAAGCTCGTAAAAATGGGAGGAACATCGCTCGCTTAGCGAGAGACATTTTGTTAGTTCTGTTGTGGTTCGTAAGCCGAGGACGACCTGTCCAGGTGGAAGTTACACTGTCTCCCTTCCTTCCTTCCTAGACTTCTCGAAGGCCGCGCGAGGAACGGGAAGTTTCGCAGTGCGAGAGCGTGGCGTCCACCGTCTCTGCGCAGGAGGACGAGGACATTGAAGCCTCCAACGAGGAGGAGAACCCCGAAGACAGCGAAGGTGGGTGTAGAACAGAGGTCCCCAAATTTTGGGGCACCAGGGACCGGTGACATAGAGGTTTTTCCGCGGATCGGAGGGGGTGTGGTTTTGTGTGCTGCCTGCATCCCGCAGATGGGGCTTTCCTTGTTTGTGCGGACCAGTTGCTGGCATGCTGCGGCTGGGTACCAGTTCATGGCCCGGGGGTTGGGGACCCCTGGTCTACAAAAGTGGTGAACCTATGGCACGTGTGCCAGAGGCAGCACTCGTAGCCCTCTCTGTGGGCACGCACGCCATTGCCCCAGCCCCGCCTCCCACAGCCCCCTCCTCACCAGCAGCCCCCCTGGAGGAGAGTGGCCCCCGGGTGTGGCCCACACGGAGCAGCACAGCCAAGGACATAGCCGGGCAGCAGGGACAAGACTCTGCCCTTGCGCCCCATAGCATGCAGATGATGCGGGGTGTGGGTGGAGGGCGTGGCTGTCATGGCGCTGCCTGGGCGATCTGCGGCGGACCATGGAGGCGGTGCGTGGCCCTGCAGGTGGGCGGGGCAGGGGGTAGGCAGGAGCGGAGCAGGCAGGGCGGGAAGTGGAGCGGGGATGTCTGGCGGGTTTTGGGCACTTGGTCTCTAAAAGATTCACCATCACTGGTCTAGATCAGGGCTTTTCAACCAGTGGTACGGGTACCACCTGTGGTCCATTGGCACCTTGCAGGTGGTACGCAACCATCCCAGAAAAGTGGTAGCGGGGGAGGGGAATGAGCTGAACCGGTGGCAGCACCGCGCAAGCCTGAGCGAGAGACGGCTGGAGCTGCAGGGCTGTCAGGGCTCAGCGGAAGTGCCAGGATCAGTGCCGCTTTCCAGCTGATCGGCGCTTTTTCAGGAGTGTCAGGGCTCAGCGGAAGCGCCAGGATCAGTGCCAGGTTCCACCTGGAGCTCGGTGCTGATCCTGGTGCTTCTGCTGAGCCCAGAAGAAGCGCCGATCAGCTGGAATGTTGCAGCGTCTTCAGGGTCTTGTGATTTACATTCAGATGCTTGGCAACTGATTCATACTTATGACGGTCACAGTGTCCCAGGGTCATGTGAAGTGACCAAAACCTGCTGCAACCACCCAGCAGACGGGGGGGCGGGGAATAAAAACCAAACACCCCCCCACCCCACCCTAGCTGCCAATCCTCAACAGAAATGCTCACAATGAAAACCTCAGACAGGAGGAAGAGCGCGGCCGGGCGGGCAGGCAGGTGTCTTGCTCGGCTGTGGCTTCGTGGTACTCGGATGTTGCCATATCCTAAAAGTGGTACAATGGGTGAAAAGGCTGAAAAGCCCTGGTATAGGGTTTCCTGTCTGAGCAGGGGGTTGGACTAGAAGACCTCCAAGCTCCCTTCCAGCTCTGTTACTGTGCGATAGTTTGTTATATTCAAATATTCTCAGCCTACTCTGTTTATCCTTTCACGTGCTTAACGGTCAACTTACTGCCTTTCCAGGTGCCGAAAACAGCTCCGACACGGAGAGTGCCCCGTCTCCTTCTCCGACCGAGACTTCCAAACCTTCAGAGGATATCCCTCTGGACAGCAGCTCTTCCCGGATGACCGCCGAGGCGGGGGCTGAACAGGACTCTGCCATGAACCCAGCCCCCAGCCCCGCCTCGCCTCCCTCGGCGACCCAGGCGACGAAGCCGTCCGAGAGCGAAGTGGCCGAGCTGCAGGTGAAAATCGAGGCCAAGTCCGAAGTGGAGGAACTGATGGAGACGGAGAGCAGGATCCCCATGGTGGACATCAAGCCCGTCCTCAACCTGGCTGCCGGCCCCAAAGTGGAGCCCATCGAGGTGGACACCAAACCCCCGCTTGACATTCAAGTCAAGGTCGAGAACGAGGTCAAGGAGAGGGACGAGGACGGGCCGAAGGAGAAGCTGGAGCCGGACGGGGAGGATTTCGGCTTGACCCACCAGCCTGGCGCTCAGAGGATGGAGCCCAGCTCGGACAACGACAACGACAACGACTCCAGTGCCACTTGCAGCGCCGACGAAGAAGTGGACGGGGAGCCCGAGAGGCAGAGGTGAGGTCCAAGGCCCAACACGGGTCAATTGGTCTCCCATTTTGTCCACTCCCCAAAACCCGCCTATCTGTTTTCGCAATAGTGGCGAGTATCCGTAGCTCAGGTGTAGGATGAAGGTGGATATTTGTTCTCCGAGCCTGTGGGTTGGTTTCTGCATATTTGGTTAACCAGGATAGGTAACATCTTCAGCGGCACGCTGGCTGTTGGAATTCTGGGAGTTGAAGTCCCCAAGCTGGAGTCTTCCAACATGGCCCTTTTAGGACTTGCGGACTTCAACTCCCAGAATTCCTCAGCCAGGCACCCTGGCTGTGGAATTCTGGGAGTTGAAGTCCACAGGCTGGGGTCTTCCAACCTGGCCCTTTGATGACTTGTGGACTTCAACTCCCAGAATTCCCCAGCCAGTCACACTGGCTGTGGAATTCTGGGAGTCGAAGTTCACAAGCTGGGGTCTTCCAACTTGGCCCTTTGATGACTTGCGGACTTCAACTCCCAGAATTCCTTAGCCAGGCATGCTGGCTGTGGAATTCTGGGAGTTGAAGTCCACAAGCAGGGGTCTTGAAACCTGGCCCTTTTATGACTTGGACTTTAACTCCCAGAATTCCCCAGCTAGTCACGCTGGCTGGGGAATTCTGGGAGTTGAAGTCCACAAAGTTGCTAAGTTGAGGACCCCTGCCCTAAACTCTAGCCTGGTAACGAAACCAACCCACAAGCTCGGAGAACGAACCTCCACCGTCACCTATCTGTGCTCTTGGTTGATGAATATCCACCCTATTCCTGAAATTCTGTAAAAAATACAGGGGGTCCTTGACTTACAACCACCCCTTTAGTGACCGAAGTCACAACGGTCCTGGGAAAAAGCGACCGATGACCATTTTTCACACTTAACGCCCGTTGTAACATTCCCACGGACACACAATCAAAAATCCGGACGCTTGGCAACCGCCTCGTATTTATGACGGTTGCCGTGTCCCCTTTTGTGACCTTCGGACAAGGGAAGTCCACGGCGACTCACTGAACGACCGCGTGGCTAACTTAACGACCGCCGCGATTCTCTTTTAACAATTGTGGCGAGAAAGGTCGATAAAACGGGGGCCAAAACGTACAGCCGCTGCGGAAATTTGGGGCATAAATTGTGTGGGCGTAAGTTGAGGCCCTCCCTTGCAGTGTTCGAGGGCCGCGACCGCAGCGCACAACGAGGGCGGTGTGTAATGGAAAGTTTCCTCTGGCCCTGGAAGCGCTCCAGGGAAGGATCACCTACGGTTGGGCTTGCCCTGAAGCCGGTGCTCAATGTCAGCGATCAAGTTACTGAGTTTCCCCCAGCTTTTTTTTTAATCTCTCTCTCTCTCTCTCTCTCTCTCTCTCTCT